AGTATTCACCAATGACCTGAGGTGTTTTCCCCAAACAGGTCATGTGCAACATGGTCTCCAGGCCACAATAGTTCAAGGCTGCATTTGCAATGCCCATGGATGATGTCTCAGTTTCCCCTGCGGGGTTCCCAGCTGGATGCCAGGTCACATCTATGAACAGTGCTCCAGCACTACCCATTCTCTCAAACCTGCAAAGATTCAGCAAACACATTTCTAGGAAACTAAGGTGACAAACAAAACAGGAATTGCAGCATCATGTTCAGACAATGATGACATTTTTTTTGGAATGAGCTCAAATAAAGTCTAAGAAAACCTTATAATGCTACATGTTTTTCTGCAATACTGTACTTGCTCTTCTTTTCAAAAATCTTTGAGCTTCTCAGGAATCACAAGTTAAAATTTTACCATTTTCTTTGCATGATGGAATAATCCAAATATATGGCCCATCCTTAAAAAAATGGTGCAGTAAAAATAAAAAATAAACTCTTTGGTACTTCAGAAAAAGTTTTTTACAGAATAACAAATACTTTGTCATAACAATATTTTTGAATGTATTGATTGCATGGGAGGGTTTTTTAATTAACACTGCATTTACATCCAGGATCTTCCTTCTCTGGCCATTTCAGATGTTCCTCCCATGCTTCAAAAACTGTGTGATCTTCAAAAAAATTCCATGACAAACATTTACCTGCTCAAAAACAGGTAAACACTTGTACCTTTTGTGAACTTGACATTTTCTGAACAATATCTGCACAGGTTTTTCAGGGTGGCTGTTCCAAAAAAAAAAAAGCTTACAGTTGTTGAGCATCAGTAGATTCAGCATTCATTTATTTTAGCATAATAAACCTTCAAAAGCAGCAATGACATTTTTAACCTTGATCTGAAATTTTGGTTATAGATAACATATGACAGCTGAAATTATTTGATGAAAATGAAAGTTGGCTTTCCTTGTAATAACACTTCAGACAAAATTTCACCTGCTGAAATAAATCATTCCAATTTTTTCATTCTGAGAAAACTTTCTAATTTTTTCAAGACATCCCATTATACCTGCTTCATTGGTTATTGACTTACTTTTTGCAAAAAAGCAGACACTTTCTTTAATACCTGCCATTCAGTCTTTCAAACTAACCTTTTTTGAGTGTACAAAAATACCATGAAACTTCGCCAGTCTGCAGAATTTTTTTTTAATTTGCCAGTCTACAAACATTCTCATAGAAATTTGCTGATCCACAAAATTTTTTTCATGGAAATTTACTGGTACAGTATGTGGAACCAAAAAACACTGCTTCAACTATTGGCTTTTTGTCAGAACTTGCAAAAACGTTTGTTATACTGAAAATTTTGTTGTAATGGTATTTGTGGCTCTATGATATTTTACTGTAAAACATTTGTGCCTCAAGATGTTTGCTAAAAAAATTGTTGAAAGGAGATTATTAAAACATTGCTCTCATGTTTGAAGAAACTGCACACAAAATGTCCTTATACAAGAAAAAATTCGTTACAAAGTATATATGCCCCAAGCATTGGTCCACACTGGGGATATGCTTGTAATTCTATACACAGTGACCCTGCTGTGCACTTGAAGTGTACCATAGTTCTTCTGTTGCACATGCGCATATCCTTAATGTGCACCAATTGTGTGTTCACACCAGCAGGATTACTCAGGGTCACATTTGTAAACAAATAAGTTACACCAAATTTACAGTGGGTGCATTTGCGTGATACTCTCATTATGTCACATTTGTGCACCAAATGTAGCCCTGGAATGGTAGCAAAATTTCATCTACAGAGCTGCATGCTTGTGACCCCAGAATAGCCCATGTACATATTTGAGTTGCAAAATTTGATCTGGACAAACAAAAGGACAAGAAAGCGAGTTAATAAAAACGTGTTAAAAAGTAGTTGAGTATGAAATTGAAGTAATCTTGAGAATTTCACGTGCTCAATTTCTCGGAAGTCGGAAATTTTCATGGCTAGAAAAGGACACATTTTTACATTTCTTCTCTATTTTACAATAATACTGTAGTACCAATAAAAAATATATATATATTTCATCAAATGAAATATGCATTTTTGAACCAAAATCTTTTTTATGTGAGGCAATGTCATCATGGAAGTTGTGGCGCACAGGCCACAAGGAACAAGAAAGATTCGAAAATTAATGAATAAATTTAAAGCAAACAAATAAAACACAGAATCCGCCGGGGAACACGGCAGGGAGTCCCTCGATAAGGACTCCGAAGAAACAGAGTAAATTATATTTCGAATTGAACACACAATGACAGAAAATCGAAGTTCGTGAGGCAAACAGAGACTGAGGGAAATCAGATTATATGAAAATGGACGATAATTAGGAAATGCCAGGTTGGAATTCCAGCGTGGATTTCGCATAATTTACGAGGCTAGCGACACCTGTCTCCCACAGAAGTGACACACACTCGTGTTTTCACATTTAAACTGATGCTGCCTTAACTTCCTCTAGCTCTTGATGATTATCCCCCGACTTCCGGATGAGACCCTTCCAACCCATAACCCGAATATCAAAACTCACCTCGTTAACTCCAGGTCGCAAGAAAGGGCCAGGTAAGAACACGGTCTGCTGAGGACCCTTGTCCCAGTAGCGCCCCAACGGGAACCCGTTCACAAAAATCACACCTTTCTTCCAAGAATCTCGCTGGGTTTGCCAAAAGTGAATCCAGGTGTCGGGAATCGGCGCTTCCATATCGAGAACCAATTCAGCTTTCACCAACTTGGGACCAGGCGGCAAGTCCCCGTCAATACTTCGCCATCCAACAAGCCTAGAATAAATCGTGAGTAAGTTTGGGATTTTTTTTTACGTCATTCTTTATCCTGGTTGAATTCAAAGCATCTGAAATATGGAGTACCACGCGCACTTTTTTTTTTTTTTACGGAAATTGAGAGGAAAAAATAAAGGGGTGCGCGTCATGGGAGGACATACACCAGCAATATACAGTATTTGATTCTGATGGCAAATTTTGCGCCAATTTCAACAAAAAAACTTACTGAAATGGAAATACAGTACTGTAATTGAAAATAAGTTGAATGAACTTGTAACAGAAAAACTTATTGAAATGGAGAAAATTTAAAATCAGTTGATTCAAGTTTCAAAAGAAGAACTTATTGAAGTGTAAATAATTGAGAATAAGTTGAATGAAGTTTCAACATAGAAAATCATTGAAATGCAAAAAATTAAAGATTGGCCAAATGAATTTTCAACAGAAAAACTCATTGAAATGGAAATAATTGAAAATTCACAATTGAATGAAATTTCAACTCGTATTTAAATTAAAATTTGGGTGTTCTCATTTCCTAAATATTGCCATTTCAGAGACAATAAAAATGGAGATACTTGGGCACTTTCCTGTTATCTCAGTACCTACTTTCCATGCACCTACCAGAAACTGTGAATTTCATTTTTCTGCATTCTGCTGAAACTGATTTTGGGAGGCAGTCAGGTAAAGTTAGGTTAGGTCAGGTTAAATTGGTCAGAGGGAAGGCACAGAGATAACAGGAAAGTAGGTACTGAGATAACAGGAAAGTACTGTACCAATATGTCCCCACTTGGGATATACAGTATACTTTTTAGTGTGCAGTATATTTACATGGACAAGAGGTTGACAGCCCCGGCCTTGGTCCTGGGCGGGAAGAACTCGAGCGAGAAGAACTTGTCGCCTGCCTTGATCCTCTCGTGGATCTTGTCCCGCAGCGTCATGTAGGCGCCCGGCACGGACACGGCCGCCTCGTCGCCGTCATTGTAGCCGCCTTCCGGCGGCTCCTCGTCCCACTCCACTTCCGAGTCCATGCCGGACTCCGAGTCGGACGCCAAACTCGAACAGAAACTCGAACTGGGTCGCAACGCGTGCTGCTGCTGCTGCTGCTGATGCAACACCTGGCCCTGGCCCTGGCCCACAACGCTGCTCATGAGGACAACCGACGACGGCGAGTCCTCGTTGCCGATGTCTCCTGCTGCCGACTCTGGCATCTTTCTTTCCTTCTTTCTTCCCTCTCAGACAGACGGGCTTGTTATATATATATATATATATATATATATTCTCTTCTTTCCCACGGTTTGTTTTTTTTTCGTGCTATTTCATAATCGACACTCTGCAGCAGGGAAATAAGAGCGAATTTCCTGTCGACCGATCAGCCAATAACAACGATGAGACAGGTGAGATCCCTGATACTGGTGACATTTCATTCAGTCCGTGGCCTTCGACCATCATCGCGTCACTGCTTATTTCGTCATCAATATTCGCACTCCCAACAATTGACACGCACAGAAAAAAAAAAAATCGTAAAAAATTATGCAAAGAAAAGCCTGGATGTGTATAATGAATAAAAGGAAAGGATCAGTCCAACGACGAAATACACTCAGAAAAAAACGCAACTGACTGAATCTCGAATAAGAGAGGGTGAGTAAATTCAAGCCCGGTATATAACCGACAGCAGGCAAGGAGGCACAGAAAAAATATATATACAGGGTGTGGAAAAGGAAACGTATAAAAAAAATACACAACTATTGCAACCCTCTTTCAAGTAACAAAAAATATATATACTGTACTGTATTGCATTTCATTTGCAGGAAACAGAAAACATGGCAGATTAATACCTTTTGTTTCATCATTAAGGAGAAATAAACAAAAGCCTTTAATGTTTTCTTTAAAAAATAAAAAAGGAATCAAAAAAGCCCAGTTTGCCATCATATATACTGTACATCATACAAGGGTTAGGGAAACTACCATATTTTGCTGGGAGAAAAGAAAACCAATGAAGAATCACAGAGAAAATAAAATTAGTCATTCTTTTTGATGAGCCTTATTTAAACCTCTTATGTAAAAAAAAAAAAGTTGACCACATATGATACTAAAGTTGAAGGAAGAGGGTTTCATTTTCCTTCCAATTACAGCCACTCCATCATCACTTCATCCTTTTGGAAAACATCCAGGTACATTTTTGTTGCCTTTTGATCTTTCCTGGGTGACCAGCAGAATAATAGCCCAAATAGGCCTCCATGTCTGAATTTGAGTCATAGAAGTTAGAGAGAGGAAGTAATTGAGTTGGGAAACTAGTCAAGAGTCCAAAATGAATTGTTCTTACAAAAAAATTGAAAGATAGGTTTTTGACTATAGGAGACATTCAAGTTATTATTTATAAGGCAGTCCAACTGTATCTTAAAATTACTTATACTTATACATGAGGGTTGTCCCAATTGAACACAACCTCTGATATTTTTAGAGCAGGCGTGACTGTAAAAAATAAAAAGCAGCATACCCCATGATGTTGTGTGGTTCTGATATTTTTCTTAAATTTTTCCATTCACACCCAGAATTCCCCACCCATGTCAATTATTGCTAAAATTGTGTCAGGCTAGGTAAAAATTTATTTTTGTTTTGTTTCAACCATTATGTAAAAGCATATCCCATGATGTTTCTTCAATTTTTCCATTCACACCCAGAATTCCCCACCCATGTCACTTATTGCTAAAATTGTGTCAGCCTAGGTAAAAAAAATTGTTTTGTTTTACCTATTATGTAAAATGCAGAAAAGATAATGGATAAAGCAACAGAAAATTTCAATTTCCCAATTTTTGCCAGCCTGAAAAATGTTAGTCTTGAACACTGATGGAGACCTCTTAGCTGTAACGGGAAAGTTTCCACTCATCATAATGCAGTAAATTGAAAAATTCTTGCAAAAATCCGCAAAAAATCCTAGAACCTGCTGGCCATGTTGTGATTTTTTTTTTACAAACACGACTATACTCTGAAAATATC